CTGCAGTGACCCACAGAACACGGAGTGACTGTCTAGGTCGGACCCTTGCTTCCTCCCCCGCCCTGGAAGCCTTGCCCTGTGGGCGGGCAGAGCAGCAGGGCCAAAAGCTCCTCTTGCCCTGAGCTCGGGTCACGTGCTCAGGGAGGGACGGAGCAGGTGGAAATGACTGCATTTGTGAAGATTTTATTTTTGTCTTCATACCAGCCTGCAGTGAGGTCGTTCTTTCCTTAGTTGAAGTCTGTGGGGCTTTATGGTGCTACTTTACCATGAAAGCTCCAAGAGCCAGATAAAACAAAGTGGACAGAACAGCCTCCTGACGCTTGTCTGAAGTTTATGGGCTCAGCAACATATTAGGACATCGTTTCTGACCTACTCTCCCCACCATCGATCTACTTTTATTAATTTAGCAACTATATCTTGAATCCATCTATGTCAGGCACAGTGAGGTGTATGTAGACAAATGAGAATGTAGGCAAAGAAAAACTACAGTAAACCAATACAAAGTGTGAAAATGGAAGGAACACACATTGTGGCAAATGCATTTACTATTTGTCTTTGGTGTGGGGTGAAAGGAAAATGGGAAGAAGCCAAAAAACACCCTCCAAATACTTAAAGCTCGTAGAGGACCATGGCTTATTAACATACATCAGAAGCACAGTCTAAGTTTTAAATTCTGATCAGTTAGCTAGAAGCTAATGCTAGGAAAAGCCAGATTATCTGGAAATGTTCTTGATGAATGCATTATCTCTTCATTCAACCAGAATGAAAGAAAGGGAAATAACTTTAGATGAAATCAAATGAGAAGTGGCACAACAGACAGTTATGGCTCTTCGGGAAGAAACACAGAGATGCTATCTGTCTTGTAAAGATATTTCAGACAACTTTCGAGAAGTGGGTTAGGTACAACCACATTGCTCTACTGATTATGCTGGATTGGATTTACAGCCTTCTCAGAGGGTTCAGACAGATATGAACATTAAAACTGTTTTATGGGAAAGTTACGGTCTCCATGTAACAGGCTGCTTTAAATATTAACTTTCTATATTCATATTTTAATATCAAAAAGACAGTCTATTTTATAGATAAGTGACCTGTAAATTTTCATCAGAAAAAGAAAAAAAACAAATACTCCTTCCTGAATTTATTTTTTAGAAGTACAAGGTTTAAGAAAAGACTTTGGTGGAGGAAAAGTAAGTGTTGCTTAAAAATTCATGATTAAGGAAAAATAAGTTTTTTTTCTGCTCTTAGGTATGCAAGTTAGACGTAAAATGAATGTAATGAAGACAGACAATTTAGCTCATGACACATGGGGGTGTTAAATTAAACTTTTAATCTTTCTAATAACTACAGGTCCACGTGAAGTTGTAAAGAAATAATACAGAGGTCCTGTGTCCCCTTTATCCAGTCTCCCTAAATGGTCACATCTTACAAAACTATAGTACAATGATATGCATGTTTTTCTAAACTGCGATTATCCAGGTTGTCTATCAATACTATTCACTGTGGATACTATCAACTCCCACCTACAATTCAGACACACAGCACCCTGCACTGTATTTCTACTGTGTCCCATGCAATTTATAATCCACGTGTAATAGACAAAGCAACCGAATCTTCATTTCTCTAAAATACTGGAATATTTATGAGCTCAGTTGGCATTTTAGGAACTTCAGAACAAAAGAAGTTTCTAGGATCATGCTCATCCCCTCCTCCCCAACCCCCCCAAAAAAGAACAGCACAGCAGGCTGGCTTCTGCACCCAAGCTTCTCAGCCACCACAAATCGAAACACCTTTAAAAGAACAGCAAAAAAGTTTTCAAAGTTCATGCCTGAAATTGCATATATATGGCTGGCACTTACTAAAAGCCGATCCTATAGAATCATGTCAGATTAGCCTATCTGGTATGATGTCATAAATTTTGTAGCAATAAATACAGTTTGGGAAGCAACGAGGATTTATTTCTGCTTCTCAGAAAGCTGTGCTTCTGAAATTTCAGAGACAGAGGTGTCCATATTCGGATGGCTGTGCTCTCAAGTCAGGCGCACGTGCTCCCTGACACGCAACAAGTTGAGGATCACTCTAGGAAGCCAGCAGAGTGACGGAGACTGATAATCAGCTTCTAGAAGACCAAGGTCATGAGTCAACCTGCATCAAGTGAACCCTCCACTCGTCTAAAACCTGTCATTGGAGACACCAAGCTGAAAGCTGTCACTGAAACGTGTTATCTTTGCAGAAGGCTGTTGAGTGCCACAAATCAAGTAGAAAACCGTATTAGAGCCTGGCGTATTGCCTTTGGCAGGCTCCCGGAACGTGGCGGCGGGGTGGCCCTCCACTGCAAGATCTGGTTACCCCAGTGTGGCAAAGCGTCTGTCCACCACATTCAGGTCAACTGCGGGGTAAATATTCCCACCCAAGTTCTCCAAAGGACACTCATATTTGAAGTAGACAGCACTGGCAGAGAAATTCTGAATTATAACACAAGCACACCATCTGTATTGGGGGAGGAGAGGGGAGGGTGAAAAGGCGTGTACAAGTAGCATCACTGGGATACAAGCTTGTCCTGAGCAGCTGCTCAAATGAATGAATCAGGCGCAGGAGAGGGTCACCTGCTCTAAGGCACGAAGGACTGTTTATGGGGCAATTATGAAAAAGCCCAAAGCTGGGAACCACTGTGCTGAGTGAGCGGGAAGCAATTCTAAGAACAAATCAGGCCAACCCAAAGCAATCAGCCATGAATACTCTCAGAGAAATAAATGCTGGTTTGGAGAAAGAATGGACCCCAAAGTTGTACGTGCAGCCGGTTAGATTAGAGGGGAAAAAAGGCAACTCAGTGACCCACAACACGAATGGGACCAAAGGATAGAAAATGAACTCATTTGAGCTCAGCATGAGGGCTTCAGGCAGCCAAGGCTCCTGAAGGGATTACTAAGAGTGGTTTGTAGTGACATCCTTGGTTACAAAAGGATCATTTTAAAAAGACAGAGAGACAGAGACAGAAGGAGGGAGAGGGCAGGGGAGGGAGAGGGGCACAGAGCCAGCGCTTGAGAGCATTTTAATGGGTTAGGGCTATAAGAGTTCAAAAATAAGATATGAGAAATACCCTATAAAAGGTTTTTGGGGGTTTTTTGTGGGGGGTGTGCTGAGGAGGAGGTAAGTAGGTTTATTTATTTGTTTATTATTTTTTAATGGAGGTTTTGGGGATTGAACCCAGTGCTAAGCATGCACTCTACCACTGAGCTATACTCTCCCCCTGTAAGAAAAGTATCTGTAGCACCAACAGAATCCCAGGCAGTACTGGGCACAGATGTAATATAACGCAATCTACAACTGCTAGTTGCACAACAGTGACTAAGAGAAAAGTAACTCTGTGTAATGGCAATGCTGACGTTTCACATCCTCAGATCCCAAGTGACACGTGAGGTAGGTAAGAGGAAGCAGGAAGACCAAACCGCTGGTCTGCTACGTGAAGGGATGAGACAGGGCTCATCTCTGTCTAATAAAATACCAAATATTCTACACATATTCTAATATAATAATAAGTATTAACAAAGCAAATTCTTAAGGAAGGTAAGAACTTTATTTCCATTTGTGCATTTGACACAGTGCTGTCCAGCAGAACTTTTAGCAATGATGGAACGTTCTTTAGCTGTCTGCCTGGTATGGGGGTAACCGGCCCTGTGTGGTTACCGAGTACGTGCAAAGTGGCTAGTACAATGCTGGTAAAAGCAACCTACGGATTCAGTGAAATTCCTATAAAAATTCCAAAGGCATTTTCCACAGACATAGTTAAAACAATCCTAAAATTCCTATGAAACCACAAAAGATCTTCAACCAAAGCCATTCTTAGAAAGAAAAACAAAGCTGGAGGCATTATACTTGCTGCTTTCAAACTATACTACAAAGCTATGGTAATCAAAACAGTACTGCTCAGGCATAGAAAGAGACACATCAGTCAATGGAATAGACTCTGAAACCTAGAAATAAAATCATGAATATCTGGCCAATTAATATTTGACAAAGGAGCCAAGAATACTCAATGGGGAAAAAACAGCCTTGTCAACAAATGGTGTTAGAAAAACGGGATATTCACATTCAAAGAATGTAGTTGGACCACTATCTTAAGCCCCTCACAAAAATTAACTTGAAATACATTAAAGACTTAACTGTAAGACCGGAAACTGTAAGACTATTAGAAGAAAATATGGGGGGAAAGCTCCTTGACATTGACTGTGGCAAGGATAATTTGGATATGACACCCAAAGCACAAGCAACAAAAGGGAAAACAAACAAATGAGACTACACCAAACGAAAAAGCTCTGCACAGCAAAAGAAATAAACAGCAAAGTGAAAAGGCAGAATGTCATGTATCAATTACATCTCAATAAAGCTGGAAACAAAAATACATGAATAAATAAATACATAAATAGTGTCCCCCCCTAAAATATCCCCCAAAGTTCTGAATGTCTCTCTCCTCTCCTTTCAAACACGACAAACAGACAACCCAACAAAGTCGAAAACAAAACAGTATGTGGCTAGTAAAAATGAGGGAGCGAATTTTAATCTTACTCAGTTTTAATTAATTAAAATTAAAATTTTAATATAACCATATATGATTAGTGGCCACCATGTCAGACAGCTTTCCACAAGTCCATTCTATATACTTTATGTTTACTGACCTATTTAATCTTTACAACAGTGTAAGGCTTCACACAGAATGGATATGATAGGGAATTTCATTATCCATATACATATTTATTTATATCTTCAACCTATCATATTTTTAAAATCTGAGGCACAGAGTGCTTAAGTGAGTTGCCCCAAATTACACAGCTAGTAAAGCAAGTGGCCATTTCTCAAATCAGGGGCCAGTTCCAAAGCTGTCACTCACTTACATGTTCTCTACAGCAACGTGCACTGCTAATGGACAGGTTGTGGTGAAGGTAAACACCCAAAACATCCAGAAACATTTCACATCAGACACGGGGAGAAGACACGCCTACCTGTCTTCCCTGTGTTTTTCATCCAGGTTTTATTAGAAGACTCATTGTCGAAGCCATCGAGTTGCAGCTCCTGGTACTCTTCACCGACACGCGCGTGCTGGTCTAAAATGTCTACGGGCGACTGGTTTCGGCCCCCACAGCTGACACTAGACGTGACCCAGTGCTCGGGACCATACGCACCTGTTAAAAGAAAACAAGACTTCAATCCTCATGGCTGAAGGGTCAGGGATAGAAGGAACCAGACGTAGGAAAGCCAAGCCCTGCATCTCCTAACACACATTTTCCTGTATGGCCCACTCCAAAGACTTCCGTGCACTGGAAAACCATGAATCCAAGCCACTTGCTTGCTAGGGCAAGAAAATTTAAGAAAAGATACGTTACTTAAGATAGTTTTGTTTCTTGATTTGTAATCAAACATTTGCTGACTTTCTCTGTAATCAGACTAAGGGAGCTGAGCAGAAGGGCTGTCAGAGAGTTGTCTATACTCTTTAAAAAAATTTAAGCAAGTTTCCTAAAATAAGGAGAACACTTATTTATTCAGGAGAAAACACCTTAATCAGTTTAGGAAGGTCTGCTATCGTGAATAATACTACACTGAACACAACTTTCTTCTATGCTCCTGAGAGTTTCTGAACTGGAAAAGGAAAAAAAAATCAAAATTAAAAGCAACACAACATTGGATGAGAGTCATTATAAAAAATGTAGGCAATGAAGCAGGGTTTTCCTTCTGGGTAACCGTGAGAGATTCTTCAGCTTAATCAGTTTGTACAAGGCATTCACTTCTCTTTCTCAAT